AAATAATGATTTTGAAGTCAAGGCTCAAACTCAAATATACACCAAAATTCAACTGGACACCTTTCGAAGTTATTGAAGCTTTGCATCCTGTTTACAGGAATGCTGCCCACATAAAACAAGTTTTTATGTAAACTATTTTAATTAAAGTTGGGAGAATTTTAGCTGCTCCTCTTAAACTCTACACAGAGCAGCTGGTGAGCATGAACCGCCGACCTTGCGGTCCAAACTGACTTTGCAGACAACAGCATTAACCTGCAGTGCCACACCAGGATTCCAGGTCTGAAATAGGCCTGTGCATATCCAGTTCTGTGTATGAACTGGAACCTTAGTAGCAATACTTTTTTTTTTTTTTTTTTAAGTTTTTATTGTGAATTGAGTGAAAGTTTATAGGGCAGATCATCAGCTTTACATTCAACAAATCATACACCTTGTTTCATTACAAATGATTATAATTCCCTCCATGTACCATCAATTAACAGTATTTCTCTCTATTCACTTTAGCTTTTTTTTTTTTTTTAAAACACTCAGGCATATATAATAATTTACACCACTAAAGGGCACATTCTGCAAGTCTGCCTCCTGGCTGCCAGCTCTCAGTCTCTCTCTTCCCATGAATCTAGAGTCCTCAACTGCTTCCTCTCTCCATGTCCCCATCTCTGCCTCCATCTCTGGTGTCGCTGCTTCTCTGGATAAGGTCTCACATTCTGCTTGTGCTCTTCTCCCTTGATGGTCCTAGGGTCCTTTGTTTCTGGACTGTAAGATTAACTACTCCTTGTTTTTGATATAAAACTTCTGTCTTTACAATTGTGCCCACTTTTTTTTTTTTCCTGAAGATAATTTTTTTTTTAGTAGCAATACTTTTTATTTGCCCTTATATATAAAGTTTTAAAAGAACTTTGACAAACTTATGGATAACTTCAAATAGTAGCTAGAATATATTAAACCAAAGAGCCCTAGTAGCATAGTGGGCTGCACGTTGGGCTGTTAAGTACAAGGTCAGCAGATGGAGCCCACTAGCAGCTCCACAAGAGAAAGATGTGGCTTTCTGTTCCAGTAAAGATTTACAGCCACAGAAACCCTACACAGGGTTGCTATGAGTCAAAACCAATTCGATGACACACAGCAGCAAATATATGATACCATAAAGAAAACATCTTTACCTCAAAAAATACATAATGTCGTGCTGTTTGACAAGCACTGGATCGCAAGGTCAGCAGTTCAAACTTACCAGATGCTCCTCGGAAACCCTATACAGGGCCACTAAGAGTCGAAAATGACTCAAAGGCATTGAACAACAACTTATACAACAAGAAAGAAAATGATAAAGCAAAAAAGAGAGATAAAGAAAAAAGGTACCATTTGCAAATTAAAACATGCATATATGAAGAATTCCAGGGGAAAAATTTTAACACGTCTCATTTCACCTCATACCCAACTCCAAACTATTATCCTTTGAAATCAAGTGTCTGCTGAGTAAAAATAAGGTATTGAATTTGAGGGCTTCTTGGCAGGGGAACCAATTTGTATCTTTCTCCTTCCAAAGCTGAGAAAGAGTCCCAAGATGAAGACTGAAAAATAGCAAATTCTGGGAAAAGCTAAGGTCATAGAAATTACTAAATATATATATATCTCACTGCAGACAGGGTCAACATTGGTCCCAAGTAATGTGCTTGACCAATCTATCCCAGTAGGAGCTAAGGCTGAATATGGCTGTGGCCTGAGAAGGGAGAGTGTATGGAATTAAGGAAGCAGAGGTTGTCCTCAGTTACTGAATACAGTGATGCTTCTGTGTTACTACAAAAATAATCCACAGGAATAACAAACATGTATCTTTCTTTCTCTTGTGTACTACCACCATTTTGAACACTTCAGCAAAGATTTCAGACCCAACAGGCAAAAATACCAAAAAAAAAAGAACAAGGTAATCCACAAAAAATGGGAAAAGATTAAAACTGCTATTGGATTTCTCATCTTCAACACTGGAATCAGAAGACAATGGAAAATGCAAAAGAGAGAACAGAACTACACCTCAAGAATGCTATCTCAGGAAAGATGATAGCAAATATGTGAGAATTCAGAGTTGCCTATGTACCCCCAACAGATAAAAATGCTTAAAAAATTACCAACCAAAGAGTAAATTAATTAAAACAAGAGAAAATAAAGGGGGAAAAAAAATGAATCTTGCAATATATAAAAACTGTTAAATCTGGAAAAAAAAAAAAGGAGCCCTGGTGGCACACTGTTTAAGTGTTTGGATGCTAACCACAATGTCAGCTATTTTAACCTACCAATTGCTCCAAGGCAGAAAGATGGAGCAGTCCGCTTCAATAAACAGTTAAAACTTTGGAAACCTCTGGGGATAATTCTATTCGGTCCTATATGGTCACCACGAGTCAGAGTCAACTTGATGGCAATGGTTAGACATAAATTGGGAGGGAACATTCATGGCTATCAGAGAGATTCTAAAAACAGCCTGGAAATAAACCCACTCCCTGTAAGGATGGGGTGTGGGGAAATATGCTCGTAAAAGTTCCAATAACATTTGAAGGAAAGTAGGTGTAAAAACAAAAAGTTTCTGAAAACTTCATCTGAGAAAGAGAATATCTTCGAGTCCTAGTGTGGCACTATAGGATAAGCACTAGACTACTAATCACAAACTCGGTGGTTCAAATCCACCAGTCACTCTTTGGAAACCCTAAACAGGGTTGCTATGAGTAAGAGTGGACTCAATGGCACTTAATTACAACAGCTGTAAGAATAATAACATTCTGAATACTTCACCTGGAGAAAGAGAATGTATTTGAAAATATTTTTTAAATCTTATATGAGTCAGTGAATAGAACATCTTGGCGGGGAAGTAGTTGGTATCTTATTTCCAAATAATAACAATTACATATCTGGTAATGAATTTAGGGAAAGAAAGAAAATAATTTTTGAAATGCAAAAATATCACAGAACTGCCATGCTAAAAATGGGAGAAATGCAGTTAATACCAATGTTATCAAGAAAAAAGTTAAAACATGGTATTCTTCTCCAAGGACTGGTCCTTCCTGATAACATGTCCAAAGTATTAGAGATGAACTCTAGCCATCCTGGTCTCTGAGGTGCATCTGGCTTATGTCTCCCAACACAGATTTGCTGGTTCTTCTGGTAGTTCATGGTACTTTTAATGTTCGTCTACTTGACCATAAGGTCAGTTTGAACCACAAGATAGGTGGTTCAAACTTACTAGCCACTCCTCAGAAAGTCTATACATGGTCTCTATGAGTCAGAACCAAATCTATAGCATTTAACAACAACAACAAACAACACCATTAATTCAAAAACACTGATTTTGATGGTTATGGAGGATGGCGGGAAGGAAAATTATTCATGGGCTAGAGGCTAAAGGCACATGTTAGCATGGGTGACAGGGCAGGCAATATACAACAAGAGGAGGTTAGCAGAGGAAAGATGAAGGTAGTGGGAGACACAGGAAGGAATGTAATAGTTAAAGTGAACAGAGGTAAATGCTGTTAACTGTTGGCACATTGAAGGAATTGCAACCATGTAGTAAAGCAAAGAGTATAGTTTGTTGACTGTAAACTGATGATCTGCTCTGTAAACATTCACTCAATTCACAATAAAAATTTTTAAAAAACAAAAAGAGGAATCTGAAATTTAAAAAATTGTCTTAAGTTTGTTAAAACTGAATTAAAACAAAGTTATATCTAAATTAAAAGATTAACCAATAAATTTACATTTAAACAGTTACTGTAAATTATGAAAATTTTAAATTAAATTAAACTCTTACTCTAAAAGATATGTATACATTTTTGTTCTGCAAATACAAATGAAGTAGTATTCTACAGAATTAAAAAAATACTTATTTCGATTAATTTAATTACAATACCAATGATCATAATTTATATTTATAAGTCATTTGACAGATTAAAATAAATCTTTTTATTCTGAATTGAAAAGTTTACAAAGAAGATCATCAATATTCCATCTATTCTACCACTCTATTTAGGACCTTCTACTGTGATCCCTTTCAGAGCCTTTCACAGTGGTAGCTAGGCACCATTCTAGGTCTCCTGGCCTTTGAATCACGGAGATTGATGTTGACATATCCCATTAGTCCACTGGACTAACTGATTGCAAGGCTCTTCATTTCTCAGTCACTTCTTTTGTTTACACATGGAGAGACCAGTAACTACACCTTAGACAGCCACTTCTGAGCCTTTAAGATCCCAGAAAGTACTCACCAAAGTAGCATGTAGATTGTTGTCTTTGTGGACTATGTTATGCCAATTAACCATGGTGTCCCCTGAGATTATGATCCTGAGCCCGCAAGCCAGGCTTATTTATAAGTAAAATCAATTTTTACTTTTATAATTTAACAGTCTTTTGTTTTAATATTAAAAATAATTGTGTTGCTTTTTAAAAAAAATTTTTTTTAAAAGGAGAATTTAAAGACTAAGATTTAAAAAGATTACATGCTACTACAAAATGTTAGCTGTTACAGATCCAAGAAGTGCTCTATGAAAATCTGATAGTATATATTAAACAAACCAAACCCATTACTATGAGTTGATTCTGACTCAGAGTTACACTAAGGGACAGAATAGAAATACCCAACAGGCTTCCCAAGGCTGCAACCTTTACAAAAGCAGACTGCCACATTTTACTCACAGACCGACTGGTGGGTTTGAACTGCTGCCTTTTAGCTAGCAGCTCAGTGCTTAATCACTACGCTACCAGGGCTCCTAAGTTGTTGTTACGTTAAGCTCCTATGTTAAATGTCACGGAGTCAGTTCCGACTCATAGCAACCTTGTATGGAGTTTCTAAGGAGCAGCTGGTGGTTTTGAATGCCCTACAGTTCAAACAACCTTGGTAGTCTAGAGCTATTCTATACTGCCATATCAGGACCTATAAAGTACACTGTAAACGGTGAAGCCAACGGTATGCAAACAATTATTTTCTGTGAAAATGGGGACAGGCATTAGTGTACACTTACCCTTCTCCTCCCATTCTTGTTATTTTTAGGCGGAAATCCACAGAATTCAGACTAGGAGGCTTCCATTTCAAAATATCATCACATCGACCTGGTTTATATTTCTAAAGTGAATTCAAATGACAATAATAATTAATAGCTAAATATATATATATATAAACATTCAATTTATTGAACAATTGTATCTATTTTATATTAAGCAAAATTAATATTTATTTTCGGAATATAATTTTTGTTGTCTCCAACCAATGATTAAGACTATTATCCATTCTTCTATTGATGGCCTTTGTCCTTTTCCTTACACCAAATAGTTCCAAAGACATGCATACTTTTCCTTGTGAAACTTCAAATAAGAATAAATATAGTTATCTATCCAACTTACCGATGACTCAAAGGAAGCTCAAAAACCCAAATTTGTTTTTAAGTTTTCTGGCTCAGCTTTAACCAAGGTAAAATTTACAATGAATAAAAGTAGCCAATTTAAACTGTCTTATTCAATGAGTTTTGACAACTGGATAGTCACATAACTATCACAAATAACATAATATAGAATACTTCAATCATCCCTAAAGCTCTCTTGTGGCACTTTGAAACCAATTCTTTTCCCAAACCTTCTGTCAACTACTAATCTGCTTTCTATTACTTTATGTGTACTTTCACTAGAAATCACAAGATATTCTTAATATAAGACTTCTGAGATGCATCTATGCTAGTGTATATAGTTTATTTTTGTTTCTTTTTATTGCTAGGTAAGATTCCATGGTATTTATGTTATGTTTATGTATTGGCAAGCTAATAGTTATCTAAGTTGTATCTACTTCTTGGCTATCATGGATGATACTGCTCTGAATATTCATGAACTAGTTGTGTAACCATATATTTTCATTTTTCTCTTTTTTACCCCTCAATCTTCATTTTATACCCAGGGGTCGAATGGCTAAATTATATAATTGTCAGTTTATCTTCATAAATCTGTTTACCAAAATGGCTTTATCATTCCCACCAGGAATGTATGAGATGTCCAGTTGTTCCTTATTATCTTTAGACTGGGGAAAGGTCAGTTTAATTTTTTGCGATTCTAGAGGCTATGCCTCCAAATTTTAATATGCATTTTCTAAATACAAATATACTTCTGAATACTTACGTCACTTAACACCTTATGAATCGCAATGGAACATTGTCAGCCCCAGATTACTAACTATTATATATAGAAACATGATGAAGGGCACCAGAATATTGTCAGATACAGTGCTGGAAGAAGAGCTCCTCAAGTTGGAATATATTCAAAATGCAACTGGGAAAGAGCTGCCTCTTTAAGTAGAGTTGACTGTGATGATACAAATGAAGTAAAGCCCTTGTAACCTTCATGTGCTGATGGGGCACAACTCAAATTGAAGAGAAAGAGCTGCAGGCATCCATTAATAATCAGAACATGGAATGTACCAAGCATGAATCTAGAAAACTTGGAAGTTGTCAAAATGGAACATATAACCATTTATGTCTTAGGCATTAGTAAACTGAAATGGACTGGTATTGTCCATTTTGAATCTGACAATCAAATGATGTGCTGTTCTGGGAATGATATGTTGAAGAGGAATGCTGTAGCATTCATCATCAATAAGAAACATATCAAGATCAGTCATGAAGAACAACGCTGCCTGTGACAGGATGATATCCATAAGCCTACAAGGAAGATCAGTTAATACCACTATTACTCAAATTTATGTACCAACCATTAAAGCCAATGATGATGAAATTGAAGAATTCTATCAACTTTTTCAGTCTGAAATTGATCAAAACACACAATCTAGATGCATTGACAATTACCGGTAATTGGAATGCAAAGATTGGAAACAAAGAGGAAGGATCAGTAGTTGGAAACTACGGCTTTGGTGATAGAAACCATGCTGGAGACTGCCTGATAGAATTCTGCAAGACCAATGATTTTTTATTGCCACCATCTTTTTTAAACAACATAAAAGACATTTACTTTTCTTTTTTACTTAAGTGACTACAAGTATGGGAACATTCAGAATGCAAAAGCCAATGCACATTATTAAATAATACTTATAAGAATGTAAATTCTTACAAATTCATAGGGACCTCAACAGATGGAATAGAGAGAAATTAAACTGAATGCATCTGTGGAAAGAGAAGGTGGAAAAAAGGTCCATATAATCAGCCAAAACAAGGCTGGGGCAGACTGTGGAACCGACCATCAATGGCTCAGTTGCAAATTCAGGCTGAAGCTGAAGAAAAGGAAAACAAGTCCACAAGAGCCAAAATACGACCTTGAATATATCTTATCGGAATTTAGAGATCATCTGAAGAACAGATTTGATGCATTAGACATTAAAGACTGAAGACCAGAAGAGTTGTGGATGACATCAAGAATATCATACAGGAAAGAAAGCAAAAGACAAGAAAGAAGAAAAAGACCAACATGGATATCAGAAGAGACTCTGAAGCTTGCTCTCCAGCATAGAGATGCTATAGCAAATAGCAGAAGTAGGGAGGTACAGAGCTGAACAGAAAATTTCAAAGGTCAGCTTGAGAAGACAAAGTCAAATTTCTTAACAAAATGTGCAAAGACCTGGAGTTAGAAAACCAAAACAGAAGAATCCACTTGGCATTTCTCAAGTCGAGGGAACTAAGAAAAAACTCAATTGTAGTATTGAAGGATTCTATGGCCAAAATACTGAATTACGCAGAAGGCATCAAAAGAAGATGAAGAAATACACAGAGTCACTGTACCAAAAAGAAATGGTCAATGTTCAACCATTTCAAGATGTAGTATAGGATCAAGAGCCAATGATCCTGAAGGAAGAAGTCCAAGGTGCACTGAAGTCATTAGTAAACAACAAGGCTCCCGGAATTGATGGAATACAAATTGAAACCTTTCAACAAACTGATGCAGACTCATTCATCTCCGCCATGAAACTTGGATGACAACTACCTGGCTAACTGACTGGAAGAGATCTGTTTTGTGCGCATTCCATAGAGAGGTGACCCAATGGAATGAAGAAATCATCAGATAATATCACTGATATCCCATGCAAGTAAATTTTTACTAAAAATAATGCAAAGACAGCTGCAACCCTACACTGACACAGAACTTCCAGAGGTTCAAGCCAGATTCAGAAGAGCACGTGGAGCGAGGGATATTATTGTTGACATGAGATGGATTTTGGCTGAGAGCAAAGAATACAGAAAGATATTTATCTGTGCTTTATTGACTATGCAAAGGCTTTCGATTGTGTGGATCATAACAAGCTATGGGCAACTGTGGATAATGAGTATTTCGGAATGCTTAATAGTGGTCATGAGAAACCTGTACATAGAACAAGAGGCAGTTGTTCAAACAGAAAAAGGGAATAATGAATGGCTTAAAATTTAGAGAAGGTGTGCTCCACGGTTGTATTCTTTCACCATACTTATTCAATCTGTAGGGAGCTCTGGTAGCGTAGTGGTTACGAATCGGGCTGCGAACCTAAAGGTCAGCGGTTCGAAACTACCAGCCACTCCGCGGGAGAAAGATGAGGCTTTCTACTCCCGTAAGGATTTACACCCTCGGAAACCCTGTACAGGGTCGCTATGGGTCGGAACCGACTCGACGGCACTTAACAACAACAACAACAACATTCAATCTGTATGCTGAGCAAATAATCCAAGAAGCTAGATTATATGAAGATTATATTGGATACTTTGGTAACCTTGTTTGCTTTCCGCTGAGTCTGGATCATGCACCTGGCTTATCTTATGACCTCTGGTTCTTTGAGAGCCAGTGGCCAGGTTCTATTGCTTGCCATTCCTTAGAGTTTTCAGCAGTCTGCCATCTGAAATGCTTGACCTGTCTGCCTGTCTTCTGACCTGCCCATCTTGGCTCATCTGGCCACTGGGCTTGGGACTTGCCCACCTCTACAACTGTTGGAGAGCCATTTCCTTGATATAAATTTCTTTTTATATAACTATATAAATAAGCTTTACTGGTTTTGCTTTTATAGACACCATCTTACCCCTAGCCCATTCAAAGCCCCTGCGAAGGTAATTTCACACATAGCATAGTGGTTACGAATCGGGCTGCGAACCACAAGGTCAGCAGTTCGAAACTACCAGCTGCACCGCAGGAGAAAGATGAGGCTTTCTGCTCCCGTAAAGATTTACAGCCTCAGAAACCCTGTTCAGGGTCGCTATGGGTCGGAACCGACTCGATGGCACTTAACAACAACAGACATACCATCATTTACTTTTCTTCTTTACTTAAGTGACTATGAGTATGAGAATATGCAGAAAGCAAAACTCAATGAACGTTATTAAACAATACTTGTAAGAACATAAATTCTGCCTCAGCAAAAATCACATCTAATTTTTTTCTTTAAAAACACCTAGGAAAATGATCAATTAGTACCTGACAATGGATAAAGATAATTAAAATACAGGATTTTAAAACTTACTATAAATAAAGTCTTGGGTATATTTAATTTTAAAAATAAAATAATTGAGATTATTAAACAATCAAAGATAGCAAAATCCACAAAAGATTATGTGTATAAATCACTGTGTCAAAAGAAATCATATATTCAGGATCTACAAAATAACTACAAAGATATACAATATAGGAATTTTAATAAACATTGTAAATATAAATATTTATGAATCATCTAATTTAAATACAGAACCTTGCTGAACTATAAACAAGAAAGTAAAAACATCCTTTCAAGCTACATATGCCAATGTATAATTAAAAAAGTAATGCATTTAAATTTCATTAAATTCACTAGTATGTATCTAGATTAAAATAATTATAAAAGCTATATTTAACTGACATATACAATTCTTATTTCTATAGAAATAAATCTGATTTTATCAGATGAGATGTCAAATTAAAAAATGGAAATAGATTATCTCTGAAGACAATTACCGATTTAACGTAAGATACACAAATATTGTATGAGACTATTATTGTCAGACCTTAAGAAAAGGTTTCCATACTAAAAGAAACATTCTTGGATGTTACCAGGGATGGGAAGGAGGGAAGAGTAATTCACTACTAGAGGGCAGACACATGTTAACTCAGCTGATTAGTTGTTGTTGTTGTTAGGTG